TTTCGTATCTTTGGTTGCAAATGTTTTATTTTAAATACAAAAGATCACCATGATAAATTTGATTCTAAAATTAATGTTGGTATTTTCTTAGGTTATGCACCTCGAAGTAAGGCTTATAGGGTCTTGAATAAACGAAGCCTCGTTGTTGAAGAATCTATAAATGTTACTTTTGATGAGACTAATGTTAGTTCTCAAGTTGTTTTGCCTAGGAAAGATGATGATGATGATGTTGTTGAGGGAGGATTGGACCTTTTACAAATCAATGATACTCCCTCTATAGAAGCTCAAAAGGATGTGGATAGCTCTAATGCTCAAGAACAAGTTGAACTTCCTAAAGCTTGGAAATTCGCATCAAACCATCCAAAGGAACAAATCATTGGGAGCCCTTCACAAGGAGTTGTTACTCGCTCAAAAGCTTTGAGTGAGTGTGGTAATGTTGCATTATTATCTTAACTAGAACCTAAAAAGATTAATAATGTTTTAAATGATGAATTTTGGGTTTTGGCTATGCATGAAAAACTAAATAATTTTACAAGAAATAATATTTGGAAATTAGTTCCTAGACCTAACAATGCTAGTGTTATTGGTACTAAATGGGTTTTTAGAAATAAACTTGATGAACGTGGCATTGTTACTAGAAATAAAGCTTGTTTGGTTGCCCAAGGATACAATCAAGAGGAGGGCATAGACTATGATGAAACCTTTGCACCGGTTGCAAGGTTAGAATCTATTAGGATGTTTTTAACATTTGCTAGCTTTAAAAATTTCAAATTATTTCAAATGGATGTTAAAAGTGCTTTCTTGAATGGTTTTATAGAGGAGGGAGTATATGTTGAGCAACCCCCCGGTTTCATAGATCATGGTTTTCCTAATCATGTTTACCGGGTTCAAAAAGCTTTATATGGGTTAAAACAAGCTCCTAGAGCTTGGTATGCTCGCCTCTCTAGTTTTTTTGTTGAAAATGGTTTTTCAAAAGGAACAATTGATAACACTCTTTTTGTGAGAAAAAGGAAAAATGATTTCATTTTAGTTCAAATATATGTTGATGATATCATTTTCGATGCTACTAATGAATCTTTGTGCAAGGAATTTTCTAAGGTTATGCAGGATCACTTTGAGATGAGTATGATGGGAGAGCTTACATTCTTTCTCGGGCTTCAAGTTAAGCAAACAAATGATGGGATATTTATTTCTCAAAGCAAGTATGCTAAGGAACTAGTGAAGAAATTCAATTTGGAGAACTCTAAGCATGCGCCTACTCCCATGAGTACAAGTGTTAAGCTTAATGCGGATGAAAGTGGTGAAGACGTGGACCAAAAACTATATCGAGGTATGATAGGTAGTCTTCTTTATCTCACCGCTAGTAGACCCGACATTATGTTTAGTGTGTGTGCATGTGCACGTTTTCAAGCATCTCCTAAAGCATCTCATTTAATTGCGGTTAAAAGGATCATTAAGTATGTTAATGGAACTTTTAACCTTGGTTTATTTTATTCAAAAAGCACCTCTTTTGATTTATATGGTTTTTGTGATGCCGACTTTGTCGGCTGTAAGGTAGATTGCAAGAGTACGAGTGGAACATGCTAATTCTTAGGAAATTCACTTGTTTCTTGGGCTTCCAAGAAACAAAATTTTTTGCATTGTCCACTACGGAAGCAAAATACAATGCCGCCGGCTTATGTTGTGCTCAAGTTTTATGGATGAAACAAAGCTTAGTTGACTATGATTTGAATTTTCAAAATATAAAAATCTTTTGTGATAATACTAGTGCTATAAATATTTCCAAAAATTCAGTTTTGCATTCTAGAACCAAGCATATTGATGTGCGCCATCATTTCTTACGCGATCATGTTGAGAGACAAGATGTATCCCAAATATTTGTTGACACAAAATCTCAACTAGCGGATATATTTCCTAAGCCTCTTGGAGAGGATGATTTTTGTCGCATAAGAAATGGTTTGGGCTTATGCACTATGTGAAAGTTCTACATTGCTTGCTTGTTAAGTTGCATTTTGCATTTTTCTTTACCCCATTTCTTTTTGATGGTGACAAAGCTGGGAGAGAAATCTCCTCATTTGTTGCATCTTAGGGGGAGCTCATAGTTAGGGGGAGCACCTATCTATAAGCTATCTTTATATATTTTTGCTCTTATATAATGGTTGGTTGTCATCATCAAAAAGGGGGAGATTGTTAACCCTTATGTTTTGATGATTTTTTACAACCACCATTATCGGTACTAATGGCTTATTAAGTTCAAATATAGTGAATTCATATATCAAGCTTATTAGTGCTACAAATGGAGGATTGGATGGAATATGCACTACAACGATGATATCTAAAGGAGGAGGAGGCATAGTGATGAAGCAAACGTTATTTCAAGAACAACAAATTCATATAGTAGCTTCATCAAATTCAAGCTATATCAAGACTCAAGCATTGCTTTCTATATAAGGATATTAGCTATCTTTTATTTTTCTCTCTCTAATAATAGAATGTAGGCAAAGAGTTATTGACTTCACTTGAAGCTATTGGGATATCACACACACACGTTTTCATACTTGTTTTCAAGCGTTTTTCACAAAATTCTATTTTTCATAAGTATGAGGACTTATCTGCAAAATTCCTTTTCCAAAAAGTTTGTTTTTAGCATTAAAAATATTTTACAAAGTTTCATATTTTTGTTGAGTCAAAACAGTGTTTTTGGGATGTATCAGAATACGGTCGAGTGTACCGGTTGACCGCACTTATGTTCATTCCTCTCTGGGCAACAGAGAGTTCATCGGTCGACCGCCGCGATCGACCGAGAGCTTCCTTCGATCGACCGGGCCGGTCGACCGGACAAGTCTCTGCTTGTTTTTCTCATTTCTGATCTGGTTAGCGGTCGACCGAATTTTCCGTCGGTCGACCGAACATTTCCATTGGTCGACCGTAATTTCCGCCGGTCGACCGCTGTATTATTCAAACGGTAATTGTGTCCTTTTTGTGGCGCCGCTCAGTACAGATCTCAGCGACGTTTTGTTCCAGATTTTGGAGGATTAAGGAATGGGTTTAAACAGCTGTTGTTCTCCTATTTAAACTCCACCTCTTCTTCCTCAGTGTCCCAGCTTTTGTAAAAACCAGTGACGCTGTTTTTTTCTCAGAGCTTATATTTTCCAAACATGTTTTCACTGAGTTTTTGTGTGTTCACTTCCCAGCTTCAGTAGAGAGAGTCTTACACCATTTCTACTATCTTATGAGTGTGATCTTGTGTAGATCAACTGTGAGGGAGTGTGATCTTGTGTAGATCAAACTGTGTAGTGTGAGATCGTGTGGGGATCGCTGTGTAGACGAAGTTTCGGCTTCCAAACCGGGTTGTGTAGTGGATTTCTCCTCGAGAGTGGGGAGCGGGGACGTAGGTCAGCGGACCGAACCTCGTTAACATATCGCGCGTCACAGGATAATGATTCCTAACCATATCTCCTCTATTTTGTTTGCATTAGAATACTGTGGTTTGCTTGTCTTAATTTTATTGCATAATTATAGCCTCTTGACCCTAATCACCCCCCTCTAGGGCTTTGCACGTTGGCGGTCAACCGCCGCGCCATGCGCGGTCGACCGCGACGCAGTAAAACTGCGTTCTTTGTCGGTTTGCTTGAACTTCATCGTCATCGATCCTGTTCCTCTTGTTCCTCCTTGTTTCCTCTTCGTTCTGAAGTATAGGACAGGTCTGATAGTTGAGCTTCACATATCCTAACAACTGGGGCTTTTCCTATTAGATACTTGAGTCTACAGATGGTGACCAAGAGACTGTCAGTGTATGATTGTGGAAGAATCTTGATAATATGGATCACTTAAAATTTCCATATTTGGGAGACCAGAAAACTCACATACTCTGGGAGATTACAGTTGGTTAAGAGTGCGTCGATGGGTGTTCAAGCGTTTTGGTCGAGTTCTTATCTTTCGCCTGAGAGGACGTTACATAAAGTGGATGAATCATGTAGGTGATTTTTCAAGGGGGAGCTCGTGGTTCTTTAAAAATTCCTTTGGTATGGAAAGTTCTTTGCACTAATAATAACATGGAGTAAATATTGAATATCTTCTCTGCTACTACATGGAGTATTACTACTATACTGAAGCTTATTTGGCATATCCATTTGAAAAAAGATCTCATCTATATCAAATGGATCCAGGCTAATTACTTAAAAAGGCAAATAATGCTTGACAGTACAAGCTACGATCGATGATTATTTGGCATGGAAACAAATTTGGAGAGCAAGGGCATGAGAATCAAAGGTGAGGGATCTACTAACAATGCTATGGCTACATTGCAAAGCTGTTGAGTTTGAGGCAAACTGAAACTTTTTTGATTTTATGATGACCTACAGAATAATCATCAAGGCAATGTTGGTATAGAACTATCTGGGCAAATGTTAAACATTCCTAAGCATAATAGGTGTTATCTATCTGAGTAGGAGCAGGAAACTCAAGAGTATTTGTTTTTCTCCTGTAATTTTGTGTGGAATGAAGTTATGATATGGCTTCATTTTACGTTTAGGAGTTGCCATTGGAATATGTTGATCAATTTGTTTGCATTATCTGCTACAGTCTATGCTCTTTGTTTTGATCACAACAAGAGGCTAGGTGGTGTGAAGGGAAGCACTGGGGATATTGTGAGAATGCTCAAATTCTGCGTTTGTTGCTATATTTCATTGTTCTGGGTCTTATAAGAATCAGGACTGGGTGTATACATTGTATCAGGTGGTTGTTTGTTTTCGATTTTCATGATTATGTGCTTTGGAGATATGTAGCACTCGGGTATGCTTGAGTTAATATGTAGAAGGTTTTGAAGCTCATGGCAATGAAAATTTTAATTTCATTAGGTAGAGAGAATATTATCTTAAGGATAAGGAAGATTCTCTCGATCGGCCATGTTAAATCTCTTGTTTGCTTTGTTGATTTGATTATTCTGAGATATTCATGACGATTCCAAACTAAACCCTAATAATAGATCACATACGATATTGGCTAAATCGCAGCGCAACTTCAAATATCACTTGTTACTGACAGATCTTACACTTTGTTTGCCTTTTATTCACTTTCTTTATCAGTAACCAAAAGAGTAAAACGTCCACTTTCACATTTACTAGGTGATATCTGATCACTTTTTAAGAAACTCATGTAACCAAAGAGCAGAGCTCTTCGGATATCTAGTCATTGTCTTGTAATCAACATAGTAAAGTCCAAACCGAACTGTGTAGCCATCAATCCATTCAAAGTTATCAAACATTGACCATGCGAAATACCCTTTGACATTCACTCCCTCCCTGCAAATATTGCACAGTGCAAGATCAACAAACCATGATCACTAAACGGTGGATTGTATAATTAAAGCACCTTCTATTTTGCTTGTATGTATTGAAACATACCTTATAGCTCTTCGGACAAATGACAAGTGTTGTCTATAGTAGTCTACTCTCATGTCGTCCTTCAAGTTTTGTTCTAGTGGAGACATTGCATTGTTTGCCTCATCCACTCCTATGAATATATTAATAAGAATTTAGCTTTGTAGATGTATTCATGTCTAGAAATAGTACTTCAAGTTTACTGATCATGTACCATTTTCTGTAATGTAAATATTTGGATTGTTGTACTTGTTCTTTATATAGAGCAAGAGTCGCCTAATTCCTGGAGGGTAGATGAAGAGCCAGTCTGAAGCAGCCTGAAGTTTAGCATAAGTTTTGATGAGTCTAAACAGTTATATGATGTGAAGAGCATGCATTGTTTAGATATATTATTTCAAGTGCAATTAGCTAGTATGCTTTAATTATTTTCAAGTTCTTGAATAGTGCGTAGTAGTTCAGGGATTCATGCTTTAAGGATTCATGACGTTAAATTGTAGCACAGCCTTTCATTCTTCAGAGAAACTGATCCTAACTGAAACCTGTTGGGACAAACCCAGGGCTTATAGAGTAGGATCGCAGTAATAGTAGAGCAAAATAGAGATAATAAGTTGAACACACAGATTTATGTAGTTCGGCATTTAATTGCCTACGTCCACGGGCAAGGATAGAAGAATCCACTATGAGGAGAAAACTCTAGAGTTACAAACTCTCTCTCTTTACAAGGAGAAATTCTCTCTGTTCTTTCTCTCTCACTCTTCTATATAAGAAGTTGTTTCTGGAATGATTTTTTCCTTAAGGATTTGGAGCCTATTTATAGTTTTTGAAAAAATACTATGCATAATAAAATAATAATAAATTTACTATGTTGTGGGCCCACTCTTTTGTTTTATTTTTCAATTGTCAAAAAAGTGGGTGAGTGGGTTTGGAGGTTTGGCTGCATTAGGCACGCATGCCTGACAATCTCCTACTTGAAGATTTGATTGAGTATCAATCATATCTTCACACCATTTTTTCTATCATGTTATTTTCATGTTGCTTACGTCTCTGACAGACCACAAGAGGATCGACACCGAGTAAATTTGTCAGTACTAACTTTTTTATCAAAAAATCAGTTAGGTTGTCTTTGGTGTGAATTTTCTGCATATCGATTGTTCCTTCTTCCACTTTCTCATGAACGAAGTGGTACTGAACTCGAATGTGTTTGGTCTTTGAATGAAAAGCTAGATTTCTTGCCAAATATAAAGCACTCTGACTGTCACAAAATAGAGAAATCTTCTTTTGTTCATAGCCGAGTTCTTCCAGCACCATCTTCAACCACATCGCCTCTTTACTAGCTTGTGTAGCTGCTACATATTCTGTTTTTGTTATTGATGTAGTCACAACTGACTGCAGTTCTGAAACACAGCTTACAGCTCCGCCAGCAAGTATAAACACATAACCTGTTGTAGATTTTCTATTATCACGATCACCTGCATAATCAGAATCAACATATCCACTGACAATAAAATCAGATCCACCATAACATAATGCAACATTTGAGGTTCCTTGAATGTATATTAGAACCCTCTTTACAGCATTCTAATGCTCTTTATCAGGATTTGTCATGTATCGACTATCCACTCCCACTGCTTGTGCAATGTCTGGTCTTGTACAAATCATAGCGAACATTAATCTTCCCACTGCTGATGCATACGGTACTCGAGATATCTTCATCCTCTCTTCTTCACTGCTAGGACTCATACTGGAGGATAACTTGAAATTAACAGGAAGTGGGGTAGAAATTGACTTACAATCTTGCATGTTAAAGCGCCGCAAAATTTTCTTCAAATAGTTCTTTTGAGAAAGTCAAATCTTCCTATTAATTCTGTCTCGATAAATTTGCATCCCTAGAATCTTGTTTGCAGATCCTAAATCCTTTATTTTAAATTCCCTAGCTAACTGAGCCTTTAATTCTTAGATGCGATCTTTGTTAGGACCTGCAACCAACATATCGTCAACATACAACAATAAGATAACAAAGTTATTTTTACCAAACCTCTTGAAATATGCACAAGGGTTTGAATTAAGTCTTCTGTATCCAAGGCTCAAGATGAATGAATCAAATCTCTTATACCAACACATCGGCGTCTGCTTTAGACCGTACAGAGATTTGTTCAATCTGCAAACCAAGTTCTCTTTTCCTTTTTCTTCAAAACCTTCTGGCTGGAGCATGTAAATTTCTTCTTCAAGATCTCTATGAAGAAATGTTGTTTTCACATCTAGCTGCTCTAGAAGTAAGTTAAATATAGCACTCATAGCCAGGACTATTCGGACTGTTGCAAGTCAAACTACAGGAGAAAATATTTCATTAAAATCAATACCTTCTTTCTGAGAATATCCTTTTACCACTAATCTAGCATGATATCGCTCCACCTGATCATCACCATTTCACTTGATCTTGTAGACCCATTTGTTTCCAATAGTCTTTCTTCCATGTGGCAGTGACACAAGTTCCCAAGTCTTGTTCTTATGGAGAGCTTCAATTTCTTCCTGCATTGCTGTCATCCACAAAGATGCATCTGTACCTTTTATAGCTTCATGAAAAGTTGATGGCTCTTCATATTCTGTTAGAAGACAGTATGTAACATTACTCTCCGTAATATACTCCGAGAACCAAGTCGGTGGTCTTCTCTCATGAGTTGATCTTCGAACTTCTAGAGCCTCTAACTCGACTGGTTCTTGTACATCATGCTTCGGTGTTGCTTCAGAAGAATTCGGATCATCTTCTACCTGAACAGCTACAGTCTCTAAGTCCTTTCTCGAACTGCTTTCTTTCTCTTCACTTTGTAGTTGGTTCTCTATAAAGATAACATCTCTGCTGATAATAACCTTGTGGGCAGTGGGATCCCACAGGCGATACCCCTTTACTCCATCAGCATACCCCAAGAATATACATTTTCTGGATTTTGAATCCAGCTTTGTAATTTCTTGGGCATTGTACATTGTTGGCCATCTTGTTTTGATGATGTTTAACAAACAATTTACAACTAATGTTGTTTGTCTAGTGTTTGTGTTTTCGTATTTATTCTAGGCAAACAACGAGTTGGAGGTTGGATGGATTGAGCCTACACGATCATATCAAGAGGAGGTTGGCGGATTTGTGGAGTGAAGCTACATACAATTCAAGTTAAAGATCAAGTTCAAGCTTCATCCGCAACGTGTACCAAGTTGAGCTACAATGAAGATCAAGATCAAGCTTGGGTAATTTAGTATAGGTTTATATTATGTGTGTTTAATACGTTAAGCTTAATATCTATACACTCACATTTATTGGTTTCTTCGTATTTATATATATTTATATATACATATATATATACATATGTTTTGGTTTTCATGTTTATAAATATGAAATTACATGTTTCATATTTATTATTGTGATTTGGTTTATCTACTTAGATATGAAACAAATATATCTTCGTATACATACTCATAGGTTTCATTTTCTATTGTATTTGTGAAAATATTTTTTTCTCAGTTTATGGACTTAATAACAATCATATACATATTTTATTAAGTCTATATAATCATTGTGCAAAGTTTCAAAACAAGGTTTAGCCTAAATGTCAAAATTCATATGTTTACATTTTCGTGTTTTGGACTATTTTGCAAAATGATGATATTTTTCATTTGGGGGGTCCTTTCTGATAACCAAAGTTTTATATTTTTTGGAATTTATTTGATATTTTTAAATAGGGTTTTAAAATCAGCAAATCAGTTTATTATCATGTCTATAATCATTCCCCAAAGTTTTAAATTTTTTGGAATTTATTTGATATTTTTAAACAGGGTTTTAAAATCAGCAAATAAGTTTTCTGTTATATAAGTTTTTGGTCGACCACACCGGTCGACCGATCATTTAATCTTTCATCACTGGGCGACAGAGAGTCTATCGGTCGACCGGTCCGGTCGACCGAAAGCTCCATCGGTCGACCGCACCGGTCGACCGATGATTGTCCAAAGCTGATCTGCGTGTTTTTGCTCTCCATCGGTCGACCGACAGAATTTCCGGTCGACCGACAATAGATCCGTTGGCTTCCAACGGCTATTTCTCTGAGCTGTTTGCTGGGGCTGTTTTTGTCTTTTGACTTGGGATTTTTAGCTGAGGTTTTGGAGGATATAAATACTCTCTTTGATCTCAGTTTTCAACCAAGAAAAGAAGTTTTTTAAATAAGGGTTTGAAAAAGGGTTTAAGCTTGTTTTAAGCTTGTTTAAGGGTTTGGTTTAATCTGTTTTGGTTTTCACAAGTGGAGGAGATTATCTTCTTGTTTTGGGCTCATTTCTCCATCTCTCCATCTTGATCTAGAGAAGTTTTCCTAAACTCAACTCTAGCTTTACATTTACATACTTGTTTGATTATCATTGTTCTTAAGCTAGATTTTATATTTAAGTTTAGTTTGATTTTGATTTCACTCATTGTTACACACACCCACTTTGAGCTTATTGTATTTGCATTCATAATATATTAGGGTTGTGAGAGTTGTAACATTGAGTGTGAGCTTTTATTGTGTTCTCATCCATATTAGAGAACAATTTATATTTGTTACATTGTGAGATTGTTAGGTTTTCGGTGGGCTAGAAACCGAGTGTGATGTGAAGTTTTTGGTGAACTAAAAAACCGATTGTGAGGAGTGACGTTGATCGGTGAGCGTTGAAAACCGATACTGTGATGTGTAAACATTGTTCAGATGAACGTAGAAAACCCGGTTGTGATAGTGGAATTCTCCCCGGGAGTGGGGAGCGGAGACGTAGGACGGAAGGTCCGAACTCCGTGATCATATCGTGTGTTTGAGTTTGTCATTGGCGTTCTTTTACATTCATGCTTATTGTTTATATCGCCTTTGTCATTTGCTCTTAGTTCATATTATCCACTATCTTGTTTATCTTGTTTATGTTTATATCACCCTAAGTTTCATATCATTGTATATAACTCATAGTATATCTTATTACTAGGATATATCCCTTGTTCATATTGCTTATCCTAGCTCACATATATTATTGTATTTCATACTTGCTAGGATAACTTGTTAATTAGTTTTTAATTGGCATATAATCGGATTAGATTAGCATAAGACCCTAATCACCCCCCTCTAGGGTCTAACAACATTACGTACACTAGACTTCCATATATATGGAGGTTGGAATAATCAGTTGGTTTGCCAGTCCACATCTCCATCGGCGTCTTCAATTGTATTGTAATTGATGAAGATCAATTTACCACATAACAGGTGGTTTTTACTGTTTTCGTCCAAAAGACTTTATCCAGATTTGAAGTTGCCAACATAGCTCTTGTTCTTTCCAACAGAGCTCTGTTCATCCGCTCCGCTACTCCATTTTGTTGAGGAGTATAAGCAGTGCTAAATTGTCTTTTGATGCCTTCATGCTTGAAGAATGCTAGAAATTCAACGTCTGTGTATTCTCCTCCATTATCTGACCTCAAGCACTTGATCTTTTTCTTAGATTTAATCTCGACACGCGCTTTGTAGGCTTTAAAGACTGAGAACACATCCGCCTTCTTCTTGATAGGATACACCCAACATCTCCTGGAGTACTCATTAATAAAGGACACAAAGTACTTTGCTCCTCCTAAAGATGTAACTGGTGCTTGCCATACATCAGAATGAACCAGTTCTAGAATAGCCTTCCTTCTAGAACTCGATGTGTTGAACTTCAATCGATGCTGCTTGCTTGTAACACAATGCTCGCAGAATGAAAGAGCTACTGAATTAAGTCCAAGAAGCAGCTTCTAATCGGAGAGAACCTTCAAGCCTCGTTCTGACATGTGGTCTAACTTATGATGCCACATCATGGTTTGTTCTTCTCCACGGCTGGTTGATGCCACACATGAATCAGCTTCCTGCAGAGTCTCTCCCTTGAGCATGTACAGATTTGAAGTTATCTTTTTTCCTTTTATCACCACAAGCGCCCCTCTAACAATCTTCATGATCCTATTTTCGATATGAGTCTTGCACCCAGCTCATCTAATTGTCCCAAAGACAATAGATTCTTCTTCAAGCTCTTCACATGTTGCACATCTTGAATGGTGCGTATTGTATCATCAAACGTTTTGATTTTGATAGTGCTAATACCAGAAATCTCTAAGGCATGATCATTACCCATGAATACAGATCCTCCTGAGATAGGTTCATATTTGTCAAACCATTCTCTTCGAGAGGTCATGTGCCAGGAGGCTGCTGAATCTAGAAGCCAGACATCAACAAACCTCTTTCCGCCTTCATCAACAGTGGTTGCTCCACTGAATAGAATTTCATCATCGTCTGATGTGCTGACAACGCATCCTTGAGATGTTGATGGCTCTGAAGACTTTTTATCTCCACTCTTCTTATTGTGTCAACACTCCGATTTGATGTGCCCTCTTTTGCCACAGTTGTAGCATTTGACATTGTTCTTACTTCTTGATTTGGATCTACCATGGGTATGACTCCCACTGGAGCCACGTTTCGTTGATCTTCCTCTCGTCATCGTTAAAGCCTCCTCTTGTTGAGAACTTGCCTGCCTGTCTTCCTTGTTCTTACGCCGATTTTCTTCCTCCAAAACAGAGGCTGCAACATTGTCAAAGACAAGATTGTCCGTGAGGACGTTGTTTGTCTGGCTGATGATGAGTTGATCATATGAGTCAGGTAGACTCTGAAGTAGAAGTTCTGCACGTTCATTCGCACCAACTGTATACCCCAACGTTGTGAGTTGGGAGAACAATGTGTTTAGGGTGTTGATGTAGTCGGTCATCGATGTAGATTCCGCCATCCTAAGAGTGTAAAGTCTCCTTTTTAAGAAGATTTTATTGTGCATGGATTTCGCCTCATATAGCATTTTCTCCATCTCGTTCAACTTCTTATCATCTGTGATGTCGTTCGGCCTTGCACTAATGACAGACAGGCAATTATCTTTTCTTAAGATAACCTTTATTTTCAACTTCCACAGTGAGAAATTACTCTCGTTGAATTTCTCGATCTTCAACTTTGCCGCCATTGCTTCTACCACGAACAGTAACTTCTTATTATTTCACGTAAATAGTAACTATATTAATAAACAGTAATCGTATTAATGAATAGTACCGTACTTGTGAATAGTACTGTATTTTTGAACAATGCCGTACTCGTGAATAGTACCCGTCACCTTCAAAAGGTAAATGATAACCTAACTTATTTTCTGATGTGAAGGATTCACTTTTAGTGGCGGCCACAGAGCATACGATAAGTAGATATATACAAGTACCCTAAGTTGGCTTTGATACCACTTGTTGGGACAAACCCGGGGCCTAATAGAGCAGGATCGCAGTAATAGTAGAGCAAAATAGAGATAATAAGTTGGACACACAGATTTACGTGGTTCGACACTTGATTGCCTACGTCTACGGGTAAGGATAGAAGAATCTACTATGAGGAGAAAACTCTGGAGTTACAAACTCTCTCTTTACAAGGAGAAATTCTCTCTGTTTTTTCTCTCACTCTTCTATATAAGAAGTTGTTTCTGCGATGATTTTTTCCTTAAAGATTTGGAACCTATTTATAGTTTTTGAAAAAACACTATGCATAATAAAATAATAATAAATTTACTATGCTATGGTGCCCGCTCTTTTGTTTTCTTTTTCAATTGTCAAATAAAGTGGGTGAGTGGGTTTGGAGGTTTGGCTGCATTAGGCACGCATGCCTGACAAAACCTGGATGTTTCGTTTTCGACACGCATACATGCTTAACTTTCTACATGATATTTTGGGGCTGTGCCAGTGTAAATGTCATACCTTAGGACCAACCAGTATACCTTGGTGCTCACCTGATGAATAGAAAATTTAATCAGTACACGAAAACAATTTTCTGAAAAAACTACAAGTTGAAGAAAGGTGTATATGAATTCAATGGAAAAAAAGGAAATAAAGCTATTGTTTTTCTTGTTATTTATTTGTTCTAATTTGTTCTTTACCAGAAATAATTCCACTGGAGTCAATGAGTTCTAATTAAGTATGGTTAATAAACTTAAGATACATTGATACATATTACATGGTAATGAAGGAATATTTATCTGTATGCTCAAGGAATCCCTGAGAAACAACGATAAAAAAGTACTAGACTGCCAATGTCAGGTAGCATGTAGCAAAAAAATTTTAACTTGTAGTACTTAGGAAGAGATGCAAATGATGAAAAGAGTAGATGTCAAGCACTTTATATCAATGAGCATTATTTCCTCAGCTAAAACAAATTAATGTGGAGAAGAAATTGCATGTTCAATTTGCCTAAAGTTAGCAACTTGGACATCCAAATGAAGAAGAGTATTACTTTAATATGGCTATAATTTTTTGGAAAATCACTAAAAAGTTGTCTCGCATATCCACATATGTGCATACACGCAGACACAAACATGAAATTTTCTTGTTTCATCACGAAGACATAAGTAATTGCAAAAAATAACCTCGGAAGCAATAATATTTAATATGGAGAAGAATATAATTTAAACCAGTAGTACCTAACAATTACCTGTCTGAAATGCGTGTCGATCGCCATCATAACTGACATTAACATTGGCCAATAAGGAAATACTGTTAGCATAGTTTGTTGTATAATAATTTAGTCCAAGGAAGTCAAAGGATCCTCTTATCATTTCAGATTGCTCTTGTGTGAATTTTGGTAAACGGTCCCCAACAAGTGCACGCATGTTGAAAGGATAGTCACCTTGAGTCAAGGGATCCATGAACCTATAACCGTGAAAATTGTGAGTCAAATGATAAATTGATTCTTGTTATGAAGGTACGAATTAAATCAATTATGCAGTACTTAGAATTTAAAAAACAAAAAATAATAAATAATAATTATCTAGTTGTTGAAATGAATATATGCCTTTAACTATGGATCTTGTAGACAGTTAAAATATATTTTTCATCCAGGCTAATATTCAGTTTATATCCAAGAAGTGGATGTCCAAGGGCTAAACGCTTCAAATGGACTAAAAACTCGAGCCCACTACAAGCTATAGCGAAGCTCGCCTTAAAAAATATGCGAACTCAGCCACACAGCTCATCTCGACTCGACCCAACCAAATATATTTTAACTATGGATCTTGTAGACAGTTAAAATATATTTTTCATCCAGGCTAATATTCAGTTTATATCCAAGAAGTGGATGTCCAAGGGCTAAACGCTTCAAATGGACTCAAACTCGAGCCCACTACAAGCTATAGCGAAGCTCGCCTTAAAAAATATGTGAACTCAGTCACGAATTAAATTATGTGCTAGATTCGAAGCCATAGGTGAAATTTGCCAATTATTTAATCTCGCCAGCAAAGTTTGCCAACCAATTAATTAGCGAACTTCGCACGGAGCTACCCACATGGGTGACGTCGTCCATGATTTCGAAGAAGGCTCACATATGTCCAAGTGAGCCTCCTCCAAACATCTTCAACGAGTCTCGCCGAACCAGCGAACTTTGTCATTTAACCATTTGAAAGCTATTTACAATGGGATAACCGCTCTCCCACTATCTCCTATCTTGATGGTCACTTATTCCACAATTAAAAGACATTAACTCTCTCTTTTTGAGTCTATAAAATAAGGAGGAGATTGTTCATTCAATGTAGAACACTCATATCGCCAAACCATATATGCATAGTTTTCTTCTACTTTGGTTCTAAGAGAAGATTGAGTTATCTTCTGAGCAACTAAGTCCGAGACCAATAGCCAGAGACCTGTTGTCTTAGTCGGATCGTCAAAGGTAAGAGATCGACACTCCATCGGCACACGGAAAAGTACCCTAAGAAATATAAATTTTTTTATTTTATTGTAATCTTTTTTATTGAAATATGTGTCAATTACAATACAAAAGACCCCAAACAGGATGAGAAGTTGCCATAAAATTCGCCACAATGTAAACTTAGAGTCCAATTCGAACCCCTAGTTTGTAATGTCAACCTTCGCCGAAGATAATTTGAGCTTCACCTCAAGCCAAACAAACTTCGGTCAAAGTAGTTGGCTTTTTTGTTTTGATGATGTTTAACAAACAATTTACGACTAATGTTATTTGTCTAGTGTTTGTGGTTTTCTATTTATTGTAGACAAACAACACGTTGGAGTATGGATGGAATCAAGCATTCACGATCATATCCAATAGAGGTTGGCGGAATAGTGGTTGAAGCCTTGCAATTCAAGTTGAAGTTCTAAGTTCAAGCTTCATTCGCAAGTGTACCAAGTAGAGCTTATTGAAGATCAAGATCAAACTTGGGTAATTTAGTTTAGGTTTTTATATTATGTGTGTTAGTACTTTAAGATCAATCATATACACACATACACGCTTTGGTTTTGTATATATATAGCTATATATATACATACATGTTATTGGTTTTCAAACTTATATAAATATGAAATTACATCTTTCATATTTAGTGTCTTTGTTTTGGTTTTCAAGTTTAAATATGAAACAGATAAATATAATTGGAAAATTCATACTTGTTTCATGTTTATATGCCTATATATGATTTCATCAATATCAAGTCTATTTAATTCAATGAAATCATGTTTTAGTGCATTATATGTGTATTTTGTTAAAATACTATATTTATTGTTTATAGACTTCATAACAATAGTTTACATCTTTCTTCAAGTCTATAAAATCAAGTTTATAATGTTTCAAAACATGGTTTATGTCAAATGTCAAAAACAAGTATTGTACATTTACATGTTTTGGATTATTTTGTAAAATGATGATATTTTACAAATGGGAAGAGATTTTTGAAAACCAGTCTTTGTAGCATATTCATTATCATGTCTACAATCATTTCCCAAAGTTTTATATTTTTGGAATTTATTACTATTTTTAATAGAGCATTGAAACTCACTTTCAAAACCATATCAGGCTGATAACCTGTTATCAGTCGACTGATGAAGTCAGTCGACTGATGAGTCGACTGAAGAAAGTGCCTGGGATATTCATTTAGTCTCTGTTCTGTTTCCGTCGACTAACTAGTCGATTGAAGTTTTTCAGTGGACTAAAAATATATGTCAGTCGACTGATAAGCTCGTATTTGAATACGATGTTCAGTTTATCAGTCGGCTGACGCCGCTCGTCAGTCGGCTTGGTTTTTGGGAGATTTTGCTGATTTTCGTAGGGTTCTGGCTATTGTTTTCTCTTCCTATATAAACCCTCAAACCCCCCACTACCAGAGGAACCAATGGAATATTTTAAAACAAGTTTAAAATAGTTTTAACAAGGGTTTAAGTTTTGTTTAAAGTTTGTTTGGTTTGTGAAGATTGTTTCACAAGTTGAGGAGATTATCTACATTGTTTGAGCTTCATTTTAATCCATCTCTCCATCTTATTTCTTCAGAGAAGAATTTATAAACTCAATACTAGCTTTATATTAATTATTTGTTGTTTATCATTTTATCAAGCTAGGATTTACATTGAGTTTATGATTGATTTTCTCATTGCTTACATACACAACCATGGAGCTTATTGTATTTGCATACATTATATAATTGGGTTATGGGGAGTTGTAACAATTGAGAGTGAGCTTAATTGAGTTCTTGTCCATTGTAGAGAACAACCATTGTTGTATTCGTAAACCTAATTGTGTAGATTACATTGTAATACACTTGTACATCGAGAGAAGTGTGTGGTGAGAGATGGGTCGTCCCAAGAGGAGTGGGGTAGGTAATTATTGATACGAGTTGCCGTGCGAGAACCTTTGATCGCAGAATTATCAAAGGTGGGTTGAGAAGAGGATGACAGAAACACAAGCACAATTCAGTATAATTATCAAAGGTGGGTTGAGAAGAGGATGACAGAAACACAAGCACAATTCAGTATATGGCAAAGGAAATTACCTTCTCTAGATTATGAGTATGAAAAGATTACAATCCCTCTCTCACAATCTCATTAGAATCGAGAACAAACTCTCAATTCTCACTAAACCCAAATATAATGATTAGAATCTCTCTTAATTACCTCTGATTCTTTAGAAACCCTAAAACAATCCTTTATATAGGTGTACAAACGAGGGTGGCAATCTGGTAAATAACCAAGCCCAAAACCAATAGGAATTCGTGTGAACGGAAACCCAAACAAACCAGGAAACCATCGATGAGTCGACTCATGACTGAGATGAGTCGACTCATCTGAAACTGGACAAAACACAAAAGCTAGCGATGAGTCGACTCATGACAGTCATGAGTCGACTCAACCTGATGAGTCGACTCATGACTGTTATGAGTCGACTCACAGGCTGAAAACTAGATACTTCGATTCTTTTGCTCGTCGTCTCATTCCATGCTTCCTCCTGCATTCTCTTATACTGCTTGACACCTCTATTCTCATACTATCATGAGAATCATCTATCCTCAAGCTCCCATGAGGATCGTTAAGTTCCAAAGAGAAGATACACCCATATCATGGGTCCCCTCTTTAGGAACTTGAAGTCCCATTCAAGTTAGAACTCCATTACATTTCCCCTCAGGCTCGAGTCACAAATAGGCTAGCATGTGATGATTTTCTAAGTAGGTCAAACACACCTGGTTAGAATTATGATGTCATCATTAGAGCCATATCATGCGTGAAACATCTTGAAAAATAGTGTAGTCACGCTTTGAAATTAGCAAACCACCTGCTAAAGATAAAGTGATATAAATTAACATAGGCGACGAAGTTAATCCCAAACCTATCTTTATCTGCGAGAGTTTATCACTCACTGACAAAGAAAAACTCATAACACTCCTTTGGCAATACATTAATATCTTTGCATGGAGTTACGAAGACACGTCCGAGCAGGATCATAATGCGGCCGTACATTGCCTTAATATCAACCTAATATTTAGCCAGTCAAGCAACATCAACACTTTCGTCCTGAGTTGATGGAGAGGATTGAAAAGAAAATCCACAAACTCATTGAATGCGGGTTCATTCCTAAAGAGAAACATCTAGATTAGTTGGCCAATATCGTGGTTGTAATGAAAAAGAATGGTAAGATTCAGATCTATATTGATTTTAGGGATTTTAATCTCACTTGCCTAAAGGATGAATTCTCTCTTCCTATCATCGATGTCATGGTTAACAATACGTGCGGGTTTGTGAGAATGTCACCCATGGATGTGTCTTCTGGATAAAACCAAATCAAAATGCATCCAGACAATTAAAACCACATGGATTTTAGGACACCTTGGGGTATTCTATTATATTGTAATGCCCTTTGGCCTAAAATATGCTAGAGCAACTTATTTATATGCGATGAACGTAATTTTTTATGAGTATTTGCATATGATGATGGAATGTTATGCCGATGACCCCGTGATAAAGAGTCATCGTAAACAAGGTCATGTCAATGATTTGTGAAAGGTGTTCAAAAGCATGAGAAAACATTAGCTCAAGATGAACCCGACCAAGTCTTTCTTGGTGATATCATCACATAAATTACTGAATTTATTGTAACATCTAAGGGAATACATGTCGATCTCAAAAATGTGAAAGCCATTCGAGAGATGCCATCTCCGAGAAATCTCAAAGACATGCAAGGACAATTAGACTACATTCATAGATTTATAGCTAATCTGTCTGGAAAATATCAACCGTTTCAAAGGCTGATGAAAAAGGTGTTTCATTCATTTGGGATGACACTTATCAAAGAGCTTTTGATGAAATCAAGAATTATCTCACGCAACCATTTATCCTATCCGCACCGATTTCGGGTAAACTCTTCTTGATCTATGTTAGGG